CACACACACACACACACACACACACACACACACACACACACACACACACACACACACACCTGTCTTGTTATATACATTATTTTTAATAATTAATTATTTGGATATGGATTTGATATTGATTTACGGTATGTTTATATTACATTTACTTTGGGAATTGTTTCAAATTCTAAGAATATTAATTTTCATTTCCCTTTTATTTGTAACATAATAATCTTTTACAATTTCGATTGTAAATTGTCTCAATGTATTTAAACTTATAACCCGCTTAACTTGAAATTTATATTACTAAATTTATATTACTAAATATAATTGAGTGAAACTGCGATTAAAAACTTCTTCGTATAACATTCTAAAAAAAAGATGCGTTGATCGCTAATCGAATTCACTTGTTTGTGGAAAGCAGTCAGCACAAACTAAACATTTGCAGTTAGTTTTTGGAATTAGTAAGCGGATACTGAATATTTTTGTTTCGCGTGATTCGCAGGACGGGAGTCGACGGGAAGCTCGAAGGAGTTGGACAGGGCGAAGCTCGTCCGCGAGAGGCAGAACGAGGAGCGGCAGCGGAAATTGGAGGAGCTCAGGCAGCAGGCTCTCGCCGCGCAACGCTTCCGCGAACAGCGTGAGGAAGAACGACGAAGACGCATCGATGAACTCAGATCGCGTGATAACGATAGGTTTGTCGATTTAAAATGCCGCAATTAAGAGACTTTACAATTGATCCAATTGATAAATTAATTTCATTAATTTTAGATAAAGAATTTAAAGAATTTGTATAGCCTTTTCCACTTAAATTATGTGTATCTTGATATTTTGTTGAAAGGAATTAATATTTCTGTAAAATAGGAAATGATCTATCTAGTCTCTTATCTGTAAAAAGTTTCATCTACAATAAAATTATAAGTCTATTTCTTACACTAGACTGCACTAGAATTCTCTTTCTCGCTTTCACCAAACATCAAATATATCTATCTCACTTTAAGTTTCAAAAATGTGTAGTATATACTAGCTCAGCCACAGAAAATAGATTTTATGTCTAAAATTAGATTCATTTATATTTCGTTGCTTTTATTTACAGACGAAATCAAGTCGAAGAGAGAAAACGGCTGATATGCGAGGCAGAGCGAGAGAGACGGGAGGCTATCCTCCGTAAAAATCAGGAGAGGGAGGCACGCATCGAGGCAAAGAAGAGAAATGAGAGGTCGCATATCGTTTTTGCGTTTGGCAGCTCCACACCGCGGATGCTGGAACCCGCTGATACCGGCGGCTCTACCTTCTGGGGTACCCGCAGGGCCACCTCTACCACCAATGTCATGATGTTTTCTGCTGCGCAGCCTCTCACTAGGAGATCCTCCGAGAGGGAGCTAGATGGCAGCAAAAAACGAGCTACTTCCGCTGGTGGACTCGACCGGAAACCGGGTGAAGGTCAGTCAATATGTTTCTTCAAATATCGATCGATCGAATTACGTCAATTCATCAAAGTTCACTAAATATCAATTGGCAAGTAGGCGATGCGAGCACACGTTAGTTGCACATCGCACATGGAAATTCGATTAACCCTTTCAGCACGCGATGTTAAACTTTCTACATACATATTTGATCGTTTCTGTTTTGTATAAACTATTCTCAATCGAGAATTCTCCGGTAGACTCCGAAGAATTTGGAATATTTCTGAATAGTTTCTCTTCTATAATATCAATATATATACAAAATGCAATTTGATTCAACCAATGTTTGCACGATAATTTTATTCTCTGATCTACGTCACGAATATTGATCAATTTCAGTTTTGGTTAAATAAATCTCTCATATGTTTCTAAAACTCAACATAATTTTCTGTATTAAAATGCGGACAACTGTTCGTAAATAATATTCTGTGATTTATCACAGAGAGAAGATTGAAATGTGATGTATAAGAAATATTTCAATCATAAAATATAAATATGTAATATGAAGTAGCTCAGCAGCAGCTGAAAGCGTTAAAGGCTTTTCCGTTCCTCGCATACGACGGATAAATAATACACGCGTGGTATTTATTCTGCACCGTGCACTGGTAGAATGCAAATTAGTATTTACTGTAAATTCAGTCGGGCGTCGAATCAACAACGATCGTTGATGCGAACACGCATGATGAGCGACTCGGAAGCGGATTTACTTCAATGTGAGTATAAATACGGATCGGGATACTTAGTACATGCTATCGCATAACGAGAAAAATCGAAATTAAGCATCTGATTAACGACAGTTCAGTCATCTTGCAATTAAATATACGACGATATTTTGTAAGTCTTTCGTGATGATGTTTCGAAAGTTGTTATTTGAAGCGAGATAAATCTGATGTTTTGAAGGAATAAATCATATCGGTGAATTCACGTCCCGTTTCCATTGCTTGCTCCACCCCTATTTGCTCGAACGTCCGAGACATATATATATATATATATATATTGATGATTGATGTTTATCGTATAAGCCTATAATCGTTCTTTCTATCGCAAATTCATGAGGAATGTGTCATTTAATCACGTCATCGCTTCTAAAATATTTCTATGTTATGTCGATTTTCAAAGCTAATCGAATAAACGTTACAAAGAAAGCTGCTCGCGTCTTCTCGTGGCTTATACTTCACGTTTGATTCCGATACCTTTGATAACGATATATTTTTCTTAGTAATAATCGATACTACTATTTATAAGATAAGAAAAGATTCCATCGCAAAAGATAAACAAAATTTTACTTGGAGTATTTGCTGTAAAATTCAATCTGCGTAAAGTTGTTGTATCTATTATTATAACGTAGAATACAAATAGTAATAAAAATAATTTGTGTTTAATAAAATACGTGAATTATTATGATTATGGAAATTAATGAATAGCTAAAACGATTAAATTATTTCTCTGTAAAATTGAATTGCGTTTTTTGAATTCTTAAATAATCGATCAAATAAAAAAATATCATTATTTTCGTGTTATAAATTGTATGAAATTGCAACGACGACACTGCGAAGCATGAAAGAACGATTGTCCAGCACTATTATATAGAATCTGTATAATTTGCGATTTTGCCCATAAGTTTTTATATTTGGTTCTTTACTTTCAGGTTTACACTCTCTATTTTATATACACTTTTATGGCAATATTCCTTTAAACGACAGCCGAATTCACGTATTTTCAGCTTGAGATTGGTTACACGAGCGAGTCTTGAGAACGTTTTGAGTCCTGCGATATAAATCGCAAGTTTTGCTTTTTACGCGATATCATTTATTTTTACTATTACACTGCACACACAGATTGCTCGGATAGTATTCACCCTGTAAACGTCACATCTTCATCCACACATTCTTCCCTCTCTGTCCAAACATCTCTTTTTTTTTTCTTTAACGAAATAACATTTTGGAAACCACTGGAAGGAAACGGAAGATACATAGATTTCTTAATATATCAGGAAATAATTTTTAACTATTGGGGCTACGTTTTCTCTTTGCACTTCTGTCCCTTTTATGATTTATACTTACCGGTGATGGTTCTGCATAGTGAGGTGTATGGAAAATAAAATAATAAGGGAAGGCAACATGTGTGCGATTCGCACTGTAGCTAACTCACGCTGATACCTATGCTTTCCCGACTTATTTTTCTCATTATCCCGGCCCTATTTAGAAGACTTTTCGCGAACCTAATATTTGCGTTGCGTTGAATGGTTTGTTCGCAGATATGAGAATGTCCTCGTCCATGTACGAGGTGTTCAATTGGAATTCTAGCCCCGATCCCCCCTTAACTCCTGCCAAGCATAAGAGAGCCAGCCTCTCTCTGCCCCCCACAACTGACATCTTTGCCGTCGATGATAAGTCCGATAGCGACACTAGGCGTCCCATGATTCAGCGGGTTGCCAGTGGTGAGTCCTGATCTCTCAGAAGCCTGCAAGAAAGCCGGGAGAGATCCGTTTCTGTTCGTCATGAATATTGTCGATCCTTTATCTCTCGTTTTGTTTAGCACTTGTTCTCGTCGGACTCTCTCCCTTTCTCTCTCGTGTTCTACGCCATTACGTCTTTCATTTACTTCACCATATACTCTATTAACGCATGTAACGTTCATTTAACACCGTATAAGAACATATTTCACGCACTTTCTCTCATTCTGTAGTTCCTTCCCGATTGCATTATATTGCTATCAGGTGGATTTTACGATTTGTGAGTGAAATCATGTGGCAATCAATATCATGCAATAATTAGTTTGCCTATCCGTATGCGATTCCTATTAATCTCGTTACAGACACGAACTAACCACTAGACACTATTAATATTTAGTTGCAACGTGCATTTTGCAAGTTGAACTTTTAGTTTGCTAGTTCGTAGTAAGTTAATTAATATTTAGCTCAGTGTTATTTGTTAATGAATTCGTCGCGAATACGGTCTAATAGGACAATTATCAGTCACAATCAATTTTTCATTTTTTTCATTAAAGCATATATCTCGCAATTGAACGTTTAACTATCAGTTTATTAACAATTATATACATAATTTGAGATATATTCGATAATTTACTATATAATCGAATTTAAATTGTAGTTTAGTAATAAAAGATAGAGTAATATTATTGCACGTTGTAACAAAGTACGGCGGTGAAAATCTAACTCAATGATGTTAATTAGTTAATTTATAATCATCAATAGCATAAAGTTTACTGCTTGCATAGATGGGTTTCTTGCTGTGTTTTTAGAAATTGTTTGACTAACTCTAATTGAATGTTATCTTTGAATGTTTTTTTGAATGTTATTTACAAAAAATATCGTAATATATGTATTTTCTTTTAATGTGTATATAAAATATGCACATTAAATTTGATACTTATTTGATATTTAAATAGTTACATGTGCTTTAATACATGATTTATGTACGTTGAGAGAATATTTTTTATCAAATAAATTGTTCAAAAAGTATATATTCTTATTAATATATATTCTTTATTAATAAAAATCTCTTTTCTTTTCAATTATTTATATTGAAAATATACTAATTCTTTATCATATTGAAATTTTAAGCAAACGCGAATGTATTGTACTTTACAGCTAAAAATGAAATTCCAAATAAAATCTCTCTCAGTGTATTTCTCCGCATCATCCCTACACGCCACAGCATGAAAAGCAAAGCAACACAACCGCAAAGAAATAGCAAAAAAAAAGAGAGATGAGAATCTGAATGCGACCGAGTTGGCGTCAGAGAAACTCTTTACTCGAGTGTGCTTCTCCATCGAGCAAGCCGCGTCGCGTATCCCCACGAATCGATGGACGTCGCTCGTTTCGCAGTAACGGGCGACACCCTAAGCGAGATTCTTTGCAGGTGATGATAGCGACGGTGGCACGCCCAGCACCCCGACCTCGATTTACCTACGTGTGAACAGGAGACGCACCGACCTCATGCCGACGATACCGTCCCCGCGCGACGGCCCACCGTCGACGACACGCAGCTCCAGCGCCAAGGCCTTCACACGTTCGCCAGGTAGGACTTACTCCATGTCCAGGCTGGATCAGCTGGCGCAGCCTAGGAAACGCACGACCGAGCAACAACTCGGCACGTTGGCGGAACAACAGCAAAGCCAGCCTCTGCAGAGCGCTTCTAGCATGAGTCGCAGCATGTCGCACTTGGCCGCGCCCGGAGGAGCCAAGAGTCTAAAACGCTCCGATAACTCGCGTAGCATGGGCACGCTACCGGGCGCGGCACCTATGCCCAGACCCACCCGCGCGGAAAGATTACGCCGAAAGGCTCGCGAATACCAGCAGATCCAACAGCAACAAGGTAAGTGTGACTGTGCACTCAACTCGACTACTTCGAATCCTTCATTCAAATCGAGCTTCTGTACATAGCAAAAATATCTCCCACGATTTCTGAAGAAATAAATCGGTAGTTTTTCCATTCTTTGTATCAAGAAAGAATAGAGATCTATCCTTAATCGTATAATTATAGATGAGCAATTATAGTTAATAATTATACAGTATAATTATAGTTAAGAGATAGTTCAATAGATCACATTCTTTTTATATATAAAAACTATAATTTTATCAATTTATCTTGTAATATTCAATATCCTCTTTATGCGATATAACTTTCTCCGATCAATATTGTAGCTTTTCTCAAAATAATTAATCATCCGCTTTGTACTAATTTTCTAGTTAATTTCTGTCACTGTATATAGTCAAACTGATCATTGCTTAATGACAAGCTTCGTAAGCTTGGCATATGGTTTTCAATAAAATGGGAAACGATCTCATAAATCAAAGTTGAATTAAAATACAACACATGAATGCACTCACTGTCTAATAAGAAAACTTTAATCAGAGTTGGGTGCACACATGTATGAATAAGTGTGAAAAGGAGTCTTTGTAAGTCAATCGGGATGACCAACTTTATTTCACGGCGTGAATATAAAAGGAAAGATATTCTTCTTCTAATTTCAAATCGCGAAATATTAATTATTCTAACTTTTTTCTATCTATTATAGTTTCTCAGAGGTAATTAACCCATCGATTTTCGAAAATCTGTACTTTTTAATATTATATTTTGATGGCAGACTCTTTTATCACTTTTAACATCAAGAGCCAGTTGTATCAATAATCTGTATTAATTAAAAAACAGCTAAATTAATAATGTAAAGGAAGAGAATTTAATTAAGCATTGTCAACGCGATTTGATGCAGCCGGCTCTTTAATTTCCGAATTGATTAACAAAACGCTCCTGAGGAAGATCTCTTCAACGGCTTTTCGGTACCACGGGTGAAGGTATGAGCTAACATCCCGGTAAGCTGCACGTTTTTATACTTTATTATATCGCTATACAACTTATCTTGCAATTCACTTAATATTATAAATGTATATATTCGTATTTGGTGTGCAATTTAGTCCTAATTAATTTACTTTTTATTCTTATTTTCAGTTCACTCTTTTTTGTGCGATTATAATTTATTTTTCTTTATTCTGTTGGCTTAATTTTTCTTATTTGTATTGGCTTATTCTTTTATTTCAACTATATTCTTTTCCTTCTTTTTTTTTTACTCACGGACTGCATTTGAACGTCGGTGGCGGTGCTTGTGTTTCTTGTTCACCTGCTACACCTCGCGTTCGTCACAACAACGTCACAAGCGCGTTACTCAATATGCAAAGTATGAAAAGTACAAACGAGAAATTCATTTGCACCGCCGTGCTTCTCTATCGAAAGATCTGCGCGATCGCGTTTCCATCGAAAAGATCAACAAATTACTTACCTTGGGTGGGTACGCGTAGGTATCCGCAGCGGCGAAGTGACACCCAACAGCCCGTCCCGACCGCACAGCTCCATGAGTCAACAGAGTGCCAGCAGCGTGGGCAGCAGTAACGTCAATCTGCGTACCCGTACGGCCGCGTCGCGCCGACCGCGGCCTGCTTCTATTGCCGGTACCGGTGTCTCGGTCACAGAGAAACACAGTGAGCATGCCCATTTTACTTCTCCTCCTACAGCCCTTTTACATCATCCGAGGATCAGCGAAGGGATTAGAAAAAAAAGAAAAGAAAAACAATTAATCAAAACTGAATCCTCGATTAACGAAGATTATAGAGCACTACTACACTACTGTTGGAATAATTAGGTCGAAAAGGAGATAAATATAAAAATTATTTTGCCTGTAATCCAAATATCCTGAAATACTACATATATATATTACGACATCTCGGCTTTATCCGAAATTTTTTTCTTCGTATATCTTTTCTTCTCTTGAACAATATATTTTTGTATAAATTTATATATATATTTTTTTTTTACGAAATTTATATTTTATTATTTTTTAATGAAATTTTGCTTTTAAATTTCTATTTCCAATCTCTTGTATATATTATTTTTGTTCACGATTGTTAGAATTGCACATGTAAATACTGTAAATGTATGTACCCGAGAAGCTCACATGCGATAGAATAGAAAATATCTCGATCGTTCTCATTATCGCAGATCTGGTGGACATGAAATTGACGAAGGATTCAAAGCCACCACTGCCAAAGGTCCATAGCACTCCAAAGAAACCTTCTATACCCAAAGTTGCGGAAGTGAGAAAGCCGACGGAGAAGTTAATCAAGAACGCCAAATCATCACCACGAATAACTCCGAAAGCGACACCCCTGCAGAGTCCCGGAGCTGAGCATGCACCACTCATTCGCGAAACTAACGTGGAGATCATAAAACAGGATGAGAACAAAGAGACGCAGAATGTGAAATCGGAGGATAAAAATGAGGAAAAGAAGGATCAAGGTAGCGAAAAGATACAGGTAAATTTCAATATATAATTTTTACGTAGTAAAAGATATATATATATATATATATATATATATTCAAATTTTCATTTTCATTTTTTCAACAGGAAGCGAATATTGTCGAATCTATAATTAATGATACAAAGATAGGGACAGAATCTGTGTTGGCAAGCAAACAAGTCAAAGACGAAACTAATTTAATGCAAGAGAATCTATCAGGTGCTATTGCGGAAGAACCGAAAATCGCTAAAAAGGAAGATAACAAACAGGAAAAGAAATCACCAGAGACGAATGAAATTAAGCTTGAAGGTGAAATGGATGAGCAAGTTGACATGTCAGGTATGAAATCAAAATTTAAATGGTCAGGTATTAATCAAAATTTTATCAATGTCGAATGATTTGTAACAAATTCTTGATTTAATGGTGAATATTTAGCTATATTAATGATTTACTTTACAGCTTCAATGATCGCGAAAATCAGAATCACCACCGAAGAGGAAGCAAAAGCTGCTTTGGCTGAACGTAGAAGATTAGCTCGAGAACAAGCAGAACGAGAAGCGGAATTGGAACGTCAGCGACAGGTACATATATACATATATACATCTACAAAATCAATTTAATATTAGACCAATTTAGCTTTTACATCTGTCGTCTTATGTATAACAATTTCTATAGGAGGAAGAAGCACGTCTAGAAGCTGAAAGATTGCGCGCGGAGGAAGAAGAGCAACGTCGTCTGGAAGAAGAAACTATACGCTTAGCTAATGAAGCTCGAGAAGCCGAGGAACAGCGATTGCAATTGGCAATCGAAGAAGCTAAACGTCGTGAAGAAGAAGATAGAAGAAAAAGAGAAGAAGAAGCTCGCCAGAAACAAGAAAAAGAAGAAGCAGAACGCAAAGCGAGAGAAGAAGCAGAAAAGTTGGTTTAGAATCTTCTCCTTTTTTATTTTTTTGGAAAACCAATAATAGATTATACGATGAGATATATACCAATATATTTTTGAATTACAGACAACGAATCGAGATGGCTGAAAGGCTTAAGAAGGAAGAAGAGGAGCGCAATGCCAGACGCAAACGAGTCGAGGCGATTATGCTTAGGACTAGAGGCAAAAATCAAACTAATACGTCTACCAAGGTAATATTAGAAACATTTATATAAATATATTAATGCTTCTGTTAAATTAAAAAATTATTCAAATTAATTATATTGAAGCAATTCATCCAGACTGAAGTTTACATATAAATTAATAAATTAATTGACAAAATTAAATAATCTTTTACGATGAATATGTATAGGGAGAAGGTGGTGATGGTGACAAGCTAAAAGAAGACAGCCCTATCGACGAGAATAAACCGATGCCGGATGGTAAAGGAGACGACGTCATGACAGCTAGTTTAATTTCCGAAGCAACTCAGCAATTTATAAGCGGCGAACAACGGGCGCATCACACAGAAAACAGCGTACTTGCACCTGATATAGTGCACAACGGCACGACACATAGCAACGGCATTAACGAAAATAAAATTATATTGGATAATAATCAGGATAACGTTGAAGGAGAATTGAACGGTCATCATACGAATCACGGAAATGGTATCAACAGTCAATCGATTACGCTGGACAATGCCACTGTGTAAGTATACCAATTCTAAACCACGGAATCGTAAACGTGTTATACCTTCGTCGACCGAGAGTTAAAAACATCTGCGTCTTTTCTCGTTAGATGGACAATAATATACATAGTAATAACTTATTTTTTGTGATAACGCGCATTTAATTAGGCATTGAAGCATATAATTTTTGACGTTCAAGATCAATTTTAGATGCAACATACGCTGCTTAAATCCAATTTTATTATATGATTGAAAAATACATCCAAAAATAAATATATTGAAAGCAAGAGTGTAATATCAAGGAAATTTTTTTCGACAGCGAAAATATCTTTTAAGCATAATAAGAAAAAATTTGAACAATCTTCTATTGTATTTAATTAATTAGAAATTAATTTAATAGTTAATTGTAAAATAACTATGAAATAGATAGGTAAAGTGCAATATCACTTACGTTTGTATAGGGCATAAATAATTGCACGGTACTAGCCAATATACTATTTAATTAAATCGACTGATTATCACAAAGTCAACAATATAGCTACTCGATCGAAAAAAGAAACGTTAAATAAATATCATACACACATCCGACTAATCCACAATAAAAGGATTAACTTTTAAATATTGCACGTTAAAATGAATTAAATATATAAAATTCTTATACATAATATACAATAAAACCATCGCGTTACAGAAAATTAAGAAATCAAATATTACTATGGCATCTATTAAAAAGAAAATTTCCGTATAAAGATTTCTTGAGTACACTGTGTAATTTAAATCTATAAAGAATACGTGCCACGCCAAATGTATTAAATTAAATATTGTACGCTTTTATTTGTAAATAGGTGTGATAAAAATTCTATGTAGTGATAAATCACAATGAATTATTATCGCACCATAAACAGATTGATTATTTCGAATTTTAGATTTGTACACATACATAGAGGGGTTCTATCAGATTCCGAACCGGCAAGAGGGATTCTATCAGATTCTGAAATGGCAATTATTTGAACTGTATTTATGATTGAATGTAAAATTGTTAGATGTATTCTTAAAAGCTTTATTATGAAAGGCATTGTATATATAATAAATTGTATTGTTTATAATGTGTCTTGTAATATCGGTTAACTATTGAAGT